TGACATGTCTGCTGTGTTGATTTGTGAGTAAAATCTAACCCCTCGGTTTTTTCTGTCCTCCACCTTTTCATCAAACTCCAGCCTCGTGCCTCATCTGCTCCGAAATGAAGTCAGCTGGGAAATAGATTTTCCATTTTCAATATAAATCCAAAGGCATTTAACATCCCATATATCAATCTTTTCCCCATTCTGGCATGTTCTGATTGAAACGATCATGGCGCCGGCGTAATTTACCGTCTAGATCAAAATGAACTCAGGAGTGAATTGACCCTGTCCTGCCAGGCGGAGTGTTATCCATTGTCACAGCTGAGATCAAGGCTCGATAGAGTGAAGGTTATCCCCGGTGTCTGAGGTGATCCGTTACGCCGTAGCAATCAACAAAATCTATTTTCCATCACAGCAGCCGCAGAGGAGAAGATGGATTCGATGCACATAGACGGGTATTGATTTGGCAATTTCCGAGGGACAAACAAAATGGTCTCCCAGCTGTTTAACTGTTTTTATTTGCCTCAGAGTAATGTCTGGGCTCCGCTGGCGCTTTCATGCTCTCTTTAAGCACATATACAGGCCTCCGGAATAACTTTTCACATTGGGGTTGTGCCTAACTTTTTTTTCATTTAGTTGCACCAGCAGATAATTTAGGAGCATTCGACATTTTTTTTGGCACCAGATAATACATTTTTAAAAAACTGCCTGGCATTGAAACGCTGCAGGGAGCGGGCGCCGTTCCACCAGCTACGCACCTTACACGCTACAGGACAAGTGTTTTCAGTTTGAAACCCCGATGCTCAGAACAAGCAAAAGCACTGCTCCGAGCCACGCTTTGGCCGCACTCTTTTGCAGCAAACGCAGAGCATGATGTTTTTTTTTTGATCAAGTTTCTTGTTTTTCCCACAGGGTGAGCATTTACTGGCGGTGGTGGGTGGTGCAGCGTGACCGATGTGCATGCAGAGACTCATGCAGTTTTGAGAGGGGGAAGAGTGTAATCCAGGTTGTTTTCTGAAGCTACAATTTACAAATGCACCCCCCTCCCCCCCTCAGCCCGAAAAACTCTCCACATGCAGATTATCTTCAAGAGTCTCCAGCCATGAAAGCAGCTCTGAGAGGCTGTAATGATGCACAGCGATGCTTTGTGGTGAATCCTAACATGCAGCAGCAGCACATTAAAATGCCGATATTTAGCGGGCGATGTGTTTAGTTTAGCAAACTAGGGCCACACAATATGTGAAATTATATCAACAATTTCCCTGAGGTACCAGACCGAAGGGATCAATAAAGCTCTATCTAATCTAAATTAGCATCGACACTGTAAGTTCACAACAGTCTCATTACGGGAAAAAAGAAAGAAGCTACGTGACTAATCTATAAGTCTGTATGACGGAGCATAACTCTGATTTAAGGGTTCTTGAATGCAC